TCCGCCTCCGCCTCCGCCTCCTCCTCCTCCTCCTCCTCCTCCTTCTCCTCCTCCTACCGTCCGAGCGCAGGAGAGTCGCCACGCACGCCGCCTTCGAGAGCCTGACGCTGCTGGCCCTCCGCCCCCCGGCCTCGCGCCCGCGGGACCCTGGCCCGCGCGGCGTCCCTATGGGAGTCTCGGGGGCAGTTCGGCGGCGGCGGCGGCGGCGGCGGCGGCGGCGGCGTCGGCGTCGTCGGCGTCGTCGTCGTCGTCGTCGTCGTCGTCGTCGTCCACCGTCAGGCGTGAGTCGTCAGTCGTCCGTCCGTCGTCGTGCCTCCTTTATTGTCGGGGGCGGCCTTGCTGCTCGAGGTGCCCCCTGGAAGGGTCCACTCCTCGGCTGCCGCAAAGTTCTCGGTGTATCCGGGGAAGACTCAGAGGACTTCTCAGAAGGTCGGGGACTTGCGAGCCTTATGCGAAGGCCCACCCTCCTCTCACTTCTCTCCCGGGCTGGCCGCCGAGGGGAAGTGCCCCCGGCAGGCTCCACTTCGACCCGGTCGATCCGCGACTCGATGCCGATTTTGGCCTGCTCGATCGGCTTCGATTCCGATTTTCCGTCGATCCGATGCGGCCTGATGCTCGCATGGCGCTGTTGTGCATCCTGCAGCAGCCGAGCTCGATTTAGTCCTTGATAGGATGCACATTTCGGTTCGATCCGATTTGCCGATTCGAAGCCGATTTATCCTTACCCTGGTGTTGCCGAGATGTCACCAACTCTGGGCGTGGGCCGCGCGCGCGTCCCGCTGTTGATCCGCCCGCACTTGCCCGCGCCGCGTTCGGCGCCCTGGGTGGTGTCTGCGTCGTTGCGCCTAGGGGTGTCAGGCCTGAACGCGGCTGCCTCGTCGCGCGCGGTGTCGGCGATCTGCGCTGCGCCGAGGGCGAGCGAGCATGCAACAGTCGAGAAGACGATGGCACAGCGCAGTACATGGAGGCGGCAGATGGGGAAGGCAGAGGTGCCTGCCCCCCGTCGCGCAAATGGTAGCGATGTGATGCTCCCGCGGGTATATCTCAATACCTTTGCTAGGTGAGGAGGAGGCGGAGGAGGAGGAGGCGGAGGAGGGAAAGGAGGAGGAGGAGGAAGAGGAAGAGGAAGAGGAGGAGGAGGAGGAGGAGGAGGAGGAGGAGGAGGAGGAGGAGGAGGAGGAGGAGGAGGAGGAGGGGGCGGAGGAGGAGGAGGAGGAGGAGGAGTGAGGAGGAGGAGGAGGAGGAGGAGGAGGAGGAGGAGGAGTGAGGCCGTGCATGCAAGCGGCCATCGTATCATGAGTGCCTTCGTCTTGATGGCCGTAATATTCGTTTCCAACCCAGCATCGCAGAAGCCATCGCTCTGGACGGGGCTGCCCAGGCATTGACACAAACATCGAGCTGCCTGCGGCAAGTACCGCCACCATGCCAGCCCAGCATTCTGGGTGGCGACTGTTCGAGAAGGCATGGGTGGCCGTTAAGTGTGACGCCTCGTGTCTCCAGGTTTGGGAAAGCCGTGATGAGTATGATGAGGATTCTGGGGATGATGAGGATGATGATGACGACGACGATGATGATGGTGATGATTCTGCTGCTGATGATGACGACGATGATGCTGACGCTACTGCTGCTGATGATGCTTATGCTAAGGATTACGATGATGATGTTGATGATGATGATGGCGATGATACCGATTATGGGGATGCTGATCACGCTGACGATGACGACGATGACGCTAAAAATGATGCTGATGATGATGATGGTGCTGCTGATGATAATGATGATGTTGATCATGACGACGACGATGACGGCGACGATGATGCTGATGGTGTCGATGCGGCCGATGCGGATTCTGATGCTGCTGCCGATGATGACGATGATGGTGATTCTGCGGATTATGATGACGATGACGATGACGATGCTGACGATGCTGATGATGATGCTGCTGCTGATGATGATCATGATGACGATGCTGATGATGATGACGATGATGCTGATGATGATGATGACGATGCTCCTGCTGATGACGATGATCCTGATGACGATGCTGACGAAGATGATGATGATGCTGATGATGATGATGATGACGATGATGACGACGATGATGATGATGATGATGATGCATGCGAGTAAGACGATGATGCTGATAGTGCTGCTGCGGATAATACTGATGCTAATGCTGATGGTGGTGATGATTATGTTGATGATGAGGATGCGGATGAGGATGCTGATGAGGATGACGATGATGAGGATGAGGATGCTGATGATGGTGATGATGCTAATGATGACGATGATGTTGATGATCATGACGATGATGCTGCTGCTGATGATGATGATGATGATGATGATGATGAAGCTGCTGCTGCTGCTGATGATGATGATGATGATGCTGATGATGGTGTTGGTGATGAAGATGCTGTTGCTGATGACACTGGTGCTGCTGCTGATGATGCTTATGATGCTGATGATGCTGATGATGATGCTGATGCTGATGACGTTGATGATGATGAAGACTATGACGATGTTGATGAGGAGGATGCGACTGATGATGATGCTGATGATGATGACGGTGATGATGCTGATGCTGATTAGCATGATGCTGCTGATGATTATGTTCATGATGATGATGCTGCTGATGATGATTATGATGATGGCGATGATTGTGATGTTGATGATGATGATGATGATGATGATGATGATGATGATGATGATGATGATGATGATGATGATGATGACGATGATGATGATGATGATGATGATTGATGATGATGATGATGATGATGATGATGATGATGATGATGATGATGATGATGATGATGATGATGATGATGATGATGATGATGATGATGATGATGATGATGATGATGATGATGATGATGATGATGATGATGACAGTGATAATGATGATAATGAGGATGAGGATCAGGATGAGGATGAGGATGATGGTGAGGATCATGTTCATGGCTGTGAAATTTGGTTGGGCCGTCTTGGGGCTGTCTTGGCCTCCTTTGACGCAGTCTTGGGGGTCCCTTTGGGGCTCTCTTGGGGTCGTCTTGGGGCCCTCTTACGCCAGCTTTGGGGCTCTCTTGGGGCGTCTTGGGGCCCTCTTGGCCGTATGGCGGGTGCCTGGGGGCCGTCGTGGGGCCGTCTTGGCGCCGTCTTGGGCCGTCGAAGTGCCTTCTGCGGCCGTCTTGGGTTCCACGGGAGGCTCTCTTGGGCCGTCTGAGGGCTGTCTTGGATGCCTCTTGGGCCATCGTGGAGTCCTCTTGGACCGCCTTGGGCTGACGGCAGCCCGAAAAGGCGAGACCGCGACAGCTATTCAAATAGTCACGGGAAATGAATCTTGGTTTCTTCTGACCCAGTTGGAAGGCCTCCTGTGGCCATTTTGGGCCCTCTTGGAGGCACCTTGGGCCGCCTTGGGTCAATATCCGGTCGCCTTAGGGCCATCTTGGGTCGTCGTCTTCGAGGCATCCTGGGTCGTCTTGGTGTCCTGGGTTGCCCGCGCGTGCTGTCTTGTACGCTCGGGACGCATATCCATCGTTTTGATTCGGGATCGTGGCTCGGGAGGCCCTGGAGCTTTTGGGAGCAGCGAGTGGGAATGCGGTACGTGCATGATCCTCGAGCGGGTGCGCGTGGGATGAGGGTTCTAGGAGTTAGGAGCCATGCGGGAAGCCATAGTCCTCAAGCGGGCACGCGGGGAGGTTAACGCATTAGCTGCGGTGCGGGGAGAGCGCAATCCTCGAGCAGGCGCGAGTGGCATGAGGCTTCCGGCATCAGAAAGGCACCATCCTCGAGCGGGTACGCGTGGAATGGGGGGCGATGCATTAGCTGCCATGCCGGAAGTGTGTCATCCTCGAGCGGGCACGAGGGAAGTGGCCTTGGAAAGGAGGGGCGGTGCACGCAAGAGTCTGCTAGTAGAAGGAGGGGTGGTCTTTTAATAGAGCTCGAAAACTCTACCAGACAGACCTTGGCATTCTTCCACGCCTCAACGTGCCAGGGGGCACTACGGCGGATTGTCGTTCACTGCGCGGCTGGCATCTAGTTGACTTCGGCTCTGTGGCAGGAAGAAAGGAGTTAGTGATGGGGAGGGGGAAGAACGGATGGGGGAGGATGGAGCAGGGCGGATAGTGGGCTCGGCGGTTTGCTGCATGTCGTGGGCCCAGCGATGGGGGTAGATGGGGGAGGGAGCTCTTCGGGAGAGTTCGGGAGCTGGGGTTTCACGCAGTGTGTTTCTGGGACTCTTGGGAGAGTTCAGGGGCCAGAATGCAGTTCGCGATGCTTGTTTGATAGTCCGATTTTTCAGCGGATTTCTGTTGGTTTGTGCTGATGTTGGTAACGTCACGAGGCCAGTGCCATGGCTTATGTTTCTTTCCCCAACCGAGGTGTCTTGATATACACGTAGGCTTGCCTAAAGGGATTCTTATTTATTGTGTTAGGGAGAACTGGGTTGTACCCAGCCTTTTTTGTGACCTTAAAATGGTCCTTTCTAGGCCAACGGATCCCTATGTGTATTCGATTGGACACCCTTGTTATCCAACGTGTCGAACCAAGGCCACATGAGTTCAATCAGTCCAACGGAGGCCTGATGGAGTCCTGTCGGTATTGCAATGGAGTCCGATAGAGTCTTATGTTCAGTTTAGTTTCATTTCGTCTTAGGGATAATCGAGTGGAATCTCATGGGGTCCCGGAGAGTTCTCATACGGAGGAGGGAGGCGAGACCTCTACCAGTCAACTTCTTCCTCCACGCACGCCGCTGCACCCGTCGCCGCTCTCTGTTTCAATCGCTCATGCCGAACCGCCGACCCCTTTGCGACCCTTGATGCCTCTCTTCTGGGGGGTATTGCTGGAGAAGCATCTTGATGCCGTGCGTCCATTTGAGTCCTTTTGAGAAACCCCAGCCGTGCTCAAAAGGGGTCCCGCCGTGTCGTTTTGGGGCTCCTTGGGGGCCTCTGGTGGCCTTTTGCGGGCCTTTTGCGGGCCTTTTGGGTGCCTTTGTGGGGGGCCTCCAGGAGGAGGAGGAGGAGGAGGAGGAGGAGGAGGAGGAGGAGGAGGAGGAGGAGGAGGAGGAGGAGGAGGAGGAGGAGGAGGAGGAGGAGGAGGACGGAGGAGGAGGAGGAGGGAGGAGGAGGAGGAGGAGGGAGGAGGAGGAGGAGGGGAGGAGGAGGAGGGAGGAGGAGAGGAGGAGGAGGAGGAGGAGGAGGAGTGGAGGAGGAGAGAGGAGGAGAGGAGGAGGAGGAGGAGGAGGAGGAGGAGGAGGAGGAGGAGGAGCTCTCTTGGGGGCCCATCTTGGGGGCAATCTTGTGGGACAGGGCTCCCGGAGCCCCTGCGAGCTCCACCTCTTGGGCTCCTCCTGGGCCCTCATTGGGGGTCTCCCCGGCAGTCTTGGGGCCCTCTTGGGCTATCCCAGGGCCCCCTTGGGCCGTCTCTGGGGCCTTTCTATGGGCCTCTTGGACCGTCTTGGGGCGATCTTTGGGCGCCCCTTCGTCGGCCTTGGGCGCCTGTGATGCACGCAGCAAGTGCAGGAAGCCTGAGGGACACCATCGATTTTTGCCGCTTGGCGCCCTCTTGAGGGTCCTCCCAGGAGCCTCTGGGGCTGTGTTGGAGCCATCTGGTCCCCTCTTGGATTTGTCTTGGGCCGTCCTGGACGGCGCGTTTGACCAGCGCGCCAAGCTGGTTTTCGACAGCGCTGCCGCTGCATCTATCGCCTCTCGGGATCCCCCCCACGCATGCACGGAGACGCTACGCTCAAGGGCTATGGAGTCTCTCCCTGGCGACATTGTGGACTCCCTGGACAGGGAAGACTCTGGAGGTCGGGAAAGGGGAGTGGCATAAAGGGGTGTGGTGCCGATCGTGGAAATGGCGATAGCATCTACGATAGATAACCTCGCCAGATCCAGCATTGGCACCACACCCCCTTACACCACATCCCTTTCCTACCCCCAGAAAGACAGGGCTTTGTGCCAGCAGATGGACCAGGGAGGGCACGGCAGACCCTCGGCTGCAGGAGCGGCGCAGATCGCCGCGCGAGGTAGCTACTGTATCGTTCCCTGCGCGCAGACCCTGAGACGCCTCGAGCCCCCTTTGGGAAGAGAAAGAGGGCCGTCCCGTAGCATCTGTGGCCCGTCGCCGCGCGAGTCTGCCAGCACCCCCCGGGAGAGCCTGGGGAACCAGCCCCCCGCCAGATCGCCAGCCTGGGCTTCGGGGATGGGCGTGGAGGGAGGCAGCTACTGCGCCGAGGAGACCCCCAGGGGTCGGCGAAGTGTCCATGAGAGTCGTCGCAACCATCTGCGAGCCACAACGTCTCGGGAATTCTCCGTGGTTCCCTCCACCCGCATCCCCCTTTCCCGTGGACCCTCCTTTCTTTGCGTCCTCAATTTTCTCCTTATCATCCCATCCAGTCCCCCTGTCGCCGCTTCGCTATCATATCCTCGCTTCTCGCTGCTCAGTTTGCCTGCCTAAGTGGGACTGCTTCGTGTCCTGCTACAGGGTCGAACGCCTTTGAACGACTGCCCCCAGGGCGCGGGCTAACACACGCGCTCCTCATTCTGGAACAGGCTGTGCGCGTGCGTGAGCGCTTGATGTGCGCTTGAATGTTCAGGACGTGCACAGTAGATATTTGTTGTCGGAATCTTGCGTGCACTAGCAGGGGGAAGTGTTCTAGAGAATTGATGCATGCCACGAAGCACTCCTGACCCGGAGGGCGCCAACTATATACCTACACCAATCTTAGCTAGGATCGGTGTAGGTTTATAGTTGGCGACTCCTCACTCTGCGTTTGGTAATGAGCGTGGGTGTGGGGGGGGGGCGCAACCCCCGCCGACAGCCTCAGAGCGACCCCCGCCGCGAGCGAACGTTGCCACGCGACGTCGACCCCGGCCGGCCCACGCCACTCGCCGCAAAAACCACACCCCGGGCCCACGGGCGCAGAAAGGTTGACGCTGTGGCCCCCGCTGGTGGGTGTGGACCCCTCCACGTTCACTACGGGACGCAGAGTGCTGCCGCCATCCGAGCGGGTGGTCATGGGGGGGGGGACGCACATGGTGTGTGCAGAAACGGGCCCTAAATGGGGCCCTTTCGGGCCCCTTGTGGGCGCCCGCTGGCTCCCAAAGGGGCCCTAAAGGGCCCCTTTAGGGCCCGTTTCTTCAGCCCCGATTTGGGTCACCGCCCACTGCTAGCCGTCCGTCTCTGGAGGTGATCTCCGTCAACGCGCTGTGGATCGCCATAGACACCGACAACAACCCCGCCTCGACGCTGCTGACGGCCGAGCCGCTCTTCCAGATTGTGGCCCCGCCCCCCCGCGGCCCTGCCCAGGGGGCGCCCCAGAGCCGTCTCCTGCGTGCTGCCGGCCCCTCCTCGTGCTGCCGCTGCTGCGGCGGCGGCCGGCACCGCCAGTTTCGGCGGCGCCTTTCCCCCCTCCATCGCGCTCTGTTCTCCCCTGCTTTCGTGCCTCGGTCCACTCTCGGCGCACCCCGCCGCCTGCAACGGGCGGCGCCTCACTGTCTTGGACCACTTGGCGCCCGCGCGCGTGAAGAGCCCCTGCGGCGCGCCACGGGCGGGGAAAGTTCCAGGACCCCCGGCGCGCTCGTCGGCTCCCCAGGAGGTTTCCCAGCCCCAGGTGCTTCCCAGCGCCTGCGCCTCGCCGAAGGTCTTTTCTCGTCTTAAGTCGGCCCTGTCCCTTTACAGGAGGAATATTCAAAAATAGTCAAAAAGTAGTCTTGGGACGATTTTTCGACTATTGTTGATAATTTGGAATATATTTGGACTATTTTTAACGTTTCGCCCACAATCCGCCTGTAGGGGGACGTGCCCGACCTGATTCTCGTCGGCTCCCAAGAGGTTTCCCAGCCCCGGCGTGCTTCCCAGCGCCTGCGCCTCGCCGAGAAAGAATTTTCTCGTCGGCTCCCCAGACCGGAGGGTTCCAATTTGGGTTTTTGGGGAGGGGGTTTTCCAGAGAGCCCCCCAGGGGCCTCGGAACCTCGTCAAAATAGGGGGTGTGAAGCCCCTGGGGGACCCCTCCCAGAAAACCCCCTCCCCCAAATCCCATTTGGAACCCTCCGGCCAAAGGCTTTCCAGCCCCGGGGTGCTTGCCAGCGCCTGCTCCTCGCCGAGGGAGCCCTCCGGGGGGGGTGCCCGAGGAGTCCTCCCGAGCGGCCGCTTTGGGGGGGGGGGGGCGCGCGGGGCGGCCAGAGGGCTGGGCGGGGGGGGGGAGAGGCTCAAATCGGGCCTGTCCCTCTACAGTCGGGGGCGGCAAGGAGGGGGGTGATGACCAGGGGTGGGGTGTATATCATGGCGGGGGCCATGATATCTCTCCAAATTTCATGGCGCCTCCTCTCATTTCAATGCGTCCCTGGCCCTCCCCTGTGCCGCGCACATGCCGCTGGCCATGATTTGCACCTCCCCTTTTGGACGCCCCCCTCTTGGCCGACCCCGATGCAGGAGATAATATTGAAAAATAGCAGAAAGAGTCAGGGGGCGATGTTTGTAGTAATTCTGTTTTTTTTTTTGCTATTTCTGACAACTTCAATGTTTTCCTCCGAACTCCGCCTGTAGGAGGACATGCCCGACTTAAGGGAAGGCAGATGGGGGCCGGCCCTCGCTTACCGGGGGGCGGCTCTGGAGGCCAGGCGGCCTCCGAGGAGCCCGGCCGCTTGGCTGAGCAGGCTTGCCCCCTCCCGCTCCCCTCCTCGGCGCGCCGTCGAGTCTTCGGCGGCGGCGGCCTCGGCGCAGAAGCCGCCTTTGCCGTCGTCGTGCCCTCTTGGTGCCCGCACCGCAGAGGTGTGGACTGCGACGCTACGGCAGATGGGCGTTGGGGCCATCGTCGGTCGAGTCTGTCTGCCTGTCTGTCTGTCTTGTCTTGTCTTGTCTTGTCTTGTCTTGTCTTGTCTTGTCTTGTCCTGTCCTGTCCTGTCTTGTCTTGTCTTGTCTTGTCTTGTCTTGTCTTGTCTTGTCTTGTCTTGTCTTGTCTTGTCTTGTCTTGTCTTGTCTTGTCTTGTCTTGTCTTGTCTTGTCTTGTCTTGTCTTGTCTTGTCTTGTCTTGTCTTGTCTTGTCTTGTCTTGTCTTGTCTTGTCTTGTCTTGTCTTGTCTTGTCTTGTCTTGTCTTGTCTTGTCTTGTCTTGTCTTGTCTTGTCTTGTCTTGTCTTGTCTTGTCTTGTCTTGTCTTGTCTTGTCTTGTCTTGTCTTGTCTTGTCTTGTCTTGTCTTGTCTTGTCTTGTCTGTCTGTCTGCTGGGCTCGGCGAGCGCGTTCCGCCTCAGCCTCCTTGGCCGCCTGCCCCGCTCCGCCGCCTTGCTGTTCGTGTGGCTGCAACATCAAAAACGTGTGTATGTGTGTCTGTCTATCTCTCTGCCTTTCTTCCTGTACAGTGATTTGTTGATATTTCCCTCTGTCAACCATTCACAATGGTTCAAACTATGGATGCTGCTCTCCTCTCCCCCCTGAAGGTGGCCAGCCCGCCCCCTTCGCGGATTTCTGCACACACAGGTTTTTCACTATTCAGTATTCCCGTTTCGGGCCGTGTGCTCGTCCACCCACAACGTGCGGGGGCTCCGCCGCCGTTCTGGCCGAGCCAGGAGGGCGGTGCCGCGGTCGCTCTTGCAGACCATCGCGTTCGAGGAGAAGGGTGAGGTGCCGCTGGAGGTGCGCCTCTCGCGCGGCGCCCTTGTCCGCTCCACCGTGGACGATCCCGAGGCCACGCTGAGCAGCCAGACGCCGCCTGCGGTGAAGGCACCGCCCACCTTCGTGGTCCTGCTCGGCGCGAGGGCTCTCGCATGGGTCGAGCTCTTCGGTGTCTGGGCCTCCCTCCGCACCGACGACCTCCGAGGGTGGTTCCTGGCGGAGCTCAGGGTCAGCAAGGACGGATTGGTATTAAGTCGGGCGTGCCCCCCCACAGGAGGAATATTCAAAGATAGTAAAAAGACAGTCAGCGGACGATTTTTTTTGATCATGTTGAGCTTTTCGTCCAAATTCCGCCTGTAGGGGGACATGCCCGACCTAGGGTTGGTAGTGTCCCTGGACAGGACGAAAACCGGCGGGCCCGGACGCAGGCCTCGATGGTTGAAGGTCTACGTGTCTCAGGGGGCCTCTGAGGCTATGCCTCCTCTCGGCCTCGCTCTGAGGCTCCGCCGCTTCTTCCCTCCTCTTCTCTGCCTAATTCAAGCTTCGCGCGGCCCGCTTAGCTTCGACCGGAAGAGGTGCGCTCTCGACCCGCGGATCAAAAAAACGTGTCTCAGGGGGCCCAGCTCGCGGACCCGACCTGGCCGGGCGCTGGATGATGGGAGGCTCCGCCATTCAATTTCGAGTGGGACTATTTTTAAGTCGGGCCTGTCCGTCTAAAACATTATCTATATATATATATATATACACATAAGAATTGGTTCGTCCAAAATCCGCCTGTTCGCCGACCTGGCCCGGATGAGCTAGGCAGTGCTGCGCCACCTGAGGGCCTCGATTCTCGATGCGGGCCAGGGCTTGTGGGGGAGCACCTGCGAGTTTATGTTTCGTAGGCAGGAACTGCCCTACTGGACCGAGCACTCTGGGCGAAACGTGCTGACGAGCTTCGCAACGCCCATGGGCTTCTCGAAGGCCGAGCGGTGAGCGGGGTTTCTGGGGGAGATGGCTCGCTGACCAATCGGATGACTTCGCCCGGACCGCCCGGAACGCCGTCCACAAGGTCCAGGACGCGGTCGCAGAGCGCATCAGGTTGATGCCGAACGCGGTGTAGGAGGCGGACCAGGTGGAGCGGTTCATCGAGTGCGCGTCCAACGCGGAGGATCACGTGCGCTTGGCGGATCTTCGTGTTCTTCTCGGCTGCCCGGGCGCGCGTGGCGAGACGGGTGGAGTTGCGACGGCGTGCGAGGCGGGGCCGCCGCCGATTCGGCCGCGTATGGAGGTCGAGCAGGGCGAGGATCTGGACATGGACGGCGGCGGCAAGCCAAGAAGAAGATATGCACGCTCCACACCACGGGGGGCTGCTTGAGGTGGCCAGGCCGCGGCGTCAAGATTTCCGCGTACCGCCAGGACATCGACGGGCTCATTCTTGGGCACTGCTGGGTCAATCAGGCGGGGGGTCCATCTCGGGCTCACTGACGACGTGAGCATGGCTCGCAGGCGGTGCCGCGTGCGGCTGCAAGGCCACGGCTGCCAGACGTGCAAGCTGAAAGGCAGCAAGATTTGGTCAAACGAGGCTGGCACTTTCGGGATCGGCTCAGCCTTCTACTGGCGTTGCCGAACGGCGGCGGGCGTGGCTCGGTTTACCTTCTATATCACGTTCTGCGATTGGCTTGGCAGTTCGGCTTCGCGGGCGACTTCTTTTGGCCAGCCTCCAGGGCAGCGGCTGCGGACAACCTCCTGCTGGCGGTGTCCGGATGGTGCTGCTCGGGGCTTCTTTCTCGTGGCGCAAGTTCAACTGTGGCCTGCAGTTGGGCTGGCTCGGGTTTTGGATCGATTGCCAGAGATTCCAGGTTGGATTGTCAGTGCGTCGAGCTAATTTTCTCGTCGACTGGCTGCAGGTTCTCCTGAGCGATGGCACTGTGCTTTTGCAGCGGGTGCCGACGGGCGGGGGAGGCTCGCTTTCAGTGTTCTCGCGGTCCCAGAGGTCGAGCTGTTTCTCGGGCCTTTCTACGCGTGGTGCGCGGCTGTGCCGTCCAGGGCGTGCGTCGAGTTGCCAGTGATCTTGCAACTCCTTTCAAAATTCTGATCCGCCGCGCTTGGGAGGGTGGGCTTTTATGCGAATGCCGCGTTGGCCCCTCGGGGGCCCGCGGGAGGCTTTCAGGCCGGAGGCCAGGACAAAAGGGGGGGATGTAGGCGCGGGGGGCTGGGGGTGCGCTGGAGGTGCCGCGCCGCGCTTAGCGCGCCGGCTTGCACTTGCCGTGCCGCGCCGCAAGGTCCCTTGGGCTTTCGCACGAGGCGAGCCTTGCAGGGCCGTTGTCTCCCTTGGGGTGCTGGGCCCCCTCCTCTGCTGGGTGGCCTTCGGCAGGGGTCGCCCTGACCATGGGCCCGGCCTGGTTTTCAGTGGGGCGACGGACAGACGGGGGCGCCTGCGCGGTGGAACAGCCGTTCCTGGTGAAGTGTCCTTCCTGCGTCGTCCTCACGGGGCGCCCCGAGGCTCCAGAAAGCCGAGGCCGACGAGCTGAGCAGCGTGGTCGCGACCAGCTTCGACGGGGCGAACAGGGCCCGCCTTGACCTCGATGAGCCCGAGTGGGTCTTGCCGCCGGAAGTGGCAGAGCACGGCGAGAAGGTGTTCCAGGATCTGGAGGAGGCAAAGGAGTAGAGGGGGCGGCTGTCGGGCGCAGGCGCGGCGAGGGCCGCGCAGGCGCGGAGGGCGCGCCCGACGGGGCAGCGGCGGAAGGGGCCGGGTGCCTGGTACAGTGCCGTTTTTAATACATGCTCCGCGTGCGGATCATGTATTTAAAAAATGCAGGGATGTCGTATGAAAGACAACGATGAGTTCATGCGTAAATTTATTCATACATTACTCCAGATTTCGTAATAGAGGGAGGGGTGTCTCATTTCGGGGGGGGGGTCTCTTCCAGGCTATCTTGGAGGGCCTGGGGGGTCTGGGGACGATGTTTTGGAGGGTTCTCCCACGGGGGAGGTCTGAAATGGCTTGTCTTGGAGGGTCCAGACCCCCTCCCTTTTGTTACGAACTCTGGAGTAATCCTGTATTCAAAATCCAAGACATCCCATGTATCAAAACCTGCCCCGCAGGCGGGCCGGCTCCGCGCCGGGCGCCGCGAGCGGAAGGGGGGGGCCGCCGGCGGAGGCCGGCGCCCTGCACGGGCGGCCGAGCCAGGCGCGCCCTGCAGGGGCGGCGCGCGCTCGCGCGTGGAGGAGGAGGAGGCGGAGGAGGAGGAGGAGGAGGAGGAGGAGGAGGAGGAGGAGGAGGAGGAGGAGGAGGAGGCGGAGGAGGAGGAGGAGGAGGAGGCGGCGGAGGAGGAGGAGGAGGAGGAGGAGGAGGAGGAGGAGCGCAAAGCCTCCCGCCGTGGTCCTGGCCCGGGCCCGAGGGGGCCCTGAGGCAGTGGCGAAGCGTCCCGGCTCGCCTATAGCCCCACCGAGCAATGTTCTAAGAACCTTTTTGAAGGGGACCTGGGACACACAAATAGATCAACACACATCACCAGATTCCCCGTATTTTCTCATATTTTCGGGCTTGTTGTCTTCCCCCCCACTTCCCATATTTTCCCATATTTTCCGGGGGATCGACGATTCATTGTGTCTGTGTGTTTTTTTTCCTCCTGACTTTTGTGGTTCCCACGAAATGTTCTTAGAACCTTTCTGGCTGGGGCTGTCTTGTTTTAACACACCGGGCTTATGTTCTAAGAACATTGTTTTTGTTCTTAGAATTAGAACATGCTTGGGTTCTAAGAACATTTCGTGGTATGACTATAGGACTGCCAGGACGGTCGGTCCCTGCTCAAATCGGCCGGCCAGGCGCGCTCGCGCGACTGTATTTCAATCGGAACGTTGCCGGTGTTTCAAGTTTGTGCTGCCGTTGCAGCGTTGGCCTCCTTTTAGGATCGGCGCTGTGCTCCCAGCCTTTCAGAATTGCGCTCTTGCCCCTGCTGGGGCCGCTTTTTCCAGATGCGAGTATTTCCTCGTCGTTGTTGCTTCGTTCCTTTCCCCTCCCCCGCCTTCCCTGGTCATTCTGCTTCTCCCGCTTTTCCCACTGCTGCTCCTGCGTTTGCTGTTCCTCCTCGTCCTCCTCCTTCCTCATTTTCCTCTTCCTCCAATTTATCCTCCTGCTCATCCGCCACTTCGCTTCCAATTCGCGCAGCTTCCTTTTTCCGATCCGCGCCTGACACGTTGGGGTTCTTCTTTTGAATCCCAGGTCCGCTGTGGCACGCGTCAGCGAATCGAGAAAATATCAGCGCATTGGGAACGGTTGTGTGGGAGGGGTGGGATGTCAAACATGGCGCGAGCGCACTGGCTTGCCTCCCTTTCTCTCTTTCTCGTTCTCTCCCTGTACCCGTCCTGCACAAGTTAGTATATGTAACCACTTCTCGTGATTTCTCTCTTTCTCTCTCTTTCCTTCGGGCCCTCGTTCCTCCTTCTCATGATGCTTGATTTCGCTGGCATTATCTCGCTCTTTTTTGTCGTTGCTGTTGTTCAACGGTTCTCTGTTTCCCTTTCTTTCTTACGTGTCTCCTTCCATCATGTCCTCTCTCTACATCTTTCTCTGGGGGGCCTCTCCCCCTCTATTTGCCTTTATCTCTCGTACTTCATCCTTCTCTTTCTCTCTCTCTCTCTCTCTCCCTCTCACCCTTCCTTTTCTTGCTGCTAGTTCGTATTCTGCGTTTTTGACTTCCATGCTTGTTGAACATATTTGCCGCAACTCTCACAGGTGGAACATTCTTTCTGCTGGTACTTTTCCTTTGAGTGGTTCGTCCGGTTCAGCGCATTCAAGAAGAAGCGATACGGGCTGAAGGAGCTTTGCCCAAACCACTGCCCTTGTGCATTCTTGCCGACGAGGGGACGGGTCAGTGTCTTGCCAGCAGACGAGCACACATGTGCACCACACCGCGATTCTCGAAGTAGGGAGGATCAGGTGAGTGCATGTAAACATGACCTTGGCCTTGTCGGGGTCTCAGGGCGATTTTGGCCCGTTTGAGGCCTTCGAAAGCCGTGTTACAAGGGCATCTCTGCGCCATCCTGGGGCCGTCTTGGGGTTCCCCAGAGCCGTCTTGAAGGCCTCTTGGGCCGTTTTGGGGCCTTCTTGGAGTGCCCCGGGGCTACCTTGGGCTCCTCGTAGCCTGTCTTGGGGCCGTCTTGGGGGCCTTTTGTGCCATCTGGGGGCCATCTAGGCCTCAACAACCGTTTTCGGGTCCCGGGAGCCGAGAAGCCAACGACGGAACAATCATGCAACAACCGACGGAACTAAACGAGTTTGGCCTCCTCTAGCTTTTATGGATGGCCTCTTGGAGCCCTCTTGGTCTTGGGCTGGTTCAGAAGCCTCTTGAGCCGTCTTGGTTCGTCTTGAGGCGTTCTTGGGCCGTCTTTGAGGCATCTCGGCGGGCGTACTTGGAGGCCTATTGGAACCTTTCGGGTTGGCTTTGATGCCATCTTGGACCACTTTGGGTCAACTTGAAGGCTATCTTGACCTTCTTGGAGGCCATCTTGAGGCATCTTGTGCAGGACAGCCGTTGGGAAACGTTTCGCCGAGGTCTTTCCGTGAAGCTGGTGAGTCAAACCGAAGGCCACTTGGGAAGCTTTCGGAATAGTTTTAAGCCTCTTGGGGACCTCTTGGGCCGTATTTAGGCGACCTTTGGGGCCCCTTGGCCGTCTTGGAGCCTCTTGGGGCGTCTTGGGGGCCTCTTGGACCGTCTGGAGGCCATCCTGGGCGTCTTGGAGCGATATTCGGGGCTCTCGGAGCCCTCTTTGACCATGTTGAGGGCCTCTTGGGTTCCTCTTGGCCGGTTTGGCCTTTGGAGAGGTCGCGCGTCCACGCGAGGGAGCATGCGAGAGCACGCTGGAAGGCCCGGAAGTGCCTAGGATCACCCAGGAGCCAGGGCTGCAGACCCCCAGAAGAGGATTGCAGTGTTCGACACGGATGGCTCTCAGTGACCTTGGGACACCTCCACTTCGTGACTCGAGGCACCGTGGCGGATTCGCTACGATGATTCACTGCAGTTTCTCTTCGAATCATTGCTCTATCCTTCAGAAGCGCAAGGAATATCAGTGATTCTTGCCTTTGGGGGCCCTCTTAGGAGACCTCTTGGAGGTCTCTTGGGGCGTCTTGGGAGCCTTTGACGCCATCTTGAGGTCCTCTTGGGCGTCTTCGAGCGATCGTTCGGCGACTCGAGGCCCTTTTGGACCGTCTTGGGCGCCGCCTGGGCCATCATGGCAGCCTCGGAGAAACCCAGGGAGACGCCATGGCTGCCCAGGGACCCCATGGGAGTATGGCCGGTGCACGCGACGAGGTGCGGCCCGGACGCGACGAGGTGCGGCCCAGAGAGGGGGGGGTCGCTCAGAAGATTACAAAAACCCTACCAGACAGCACTTGGCATTCTATCACGCCTAGATGTGTCAGGAGGCACCATGGTGGATTGATCCGGATGGTGATGGCGCTGACGACGATTATGGCGACGACGGCGACGAGATGAGAGCGATCATGACGGTGATGATAAAGCTTCGGATGATGCCGGTGGCGGTGGCAATGTTGATGATGTCGATGTTGATGTCGAGGACCATGATGCCTTCGATCATACCGGCGATGACTACGATGGCGATCATGGTGATGCTCGTGATGATGAGGATGATCATCGCTAGGATTATGAAGTTGATGCTGATGATGATGATGATGATGATGATGATGATGATGATGATGATGATGATGATGGTGGAGTTGGTGACGAGGACAATGCGTATATGGTGACAGTACGAGACGCTGGTGGCAATGATGGCGGTAACGGCGATGATGACGATGACGGCGATGACGGTGGCGCAGTTGCTGAGTATGACGATGATGGTGAAGACGGGATCGCGATGCCGAAATTCATCATAATGGCGATGATGACGATGGTGATTATGACCATGAGGATGACGACGGTCATGATGGTGATGGTGATGGTGATGGTGACGCCGAGGCTTATGCTGGAGACGGTGATGGCCGCGATTCGGATGATGACGGATAACGCTGATGCTGGTGATGAGGAACACTGAGGATATTGACGAGCAGAGTGGCGACCTTGAGGGCGATGGCAACGATGACGATGGTGTTGCTGGTGATGACGATGGCGATGACGGCGACGATGAGGATGCTGATGAGGACGGTGCTGATGATTGTGACAGAGGCGATGGTCATGGTGGTGTCGAGGTTCGTGATGATGATGGTGGCGGTGGCGACGATAAGGATTGTGATGGTGATAGGAATGCCGATGCTGATGATGATGATGATGATGAGATGATGATGATGATGATGATGATGATGATGATGATGATGATGATGATGATGATGATGATGATGATGATGATGATGACGATGATGATGCTGATGCTGATGCTGATGCTGATGCTGATGATGATGATGATGATGATGATGATGATGATGATGATGATGATGATGATGATGCTGATGCTGATGCTGATACTGATGCTGATGCTGATGGTATTGGTTGTGCCGGTGATGAGGATTACGATGCTTCGTCGTTCCGTTCCGTTTTACGTGTTTCTTTCCGTTCTTTTATGTTTTCTTCCTACGTTCCGTTTTACAATCCCTCCGTGTCGTCCTATTCTTCTTCCGTTCCAATTGATTATCTTTCCGCTTCGTTTCATCATCCTTCCGGTCAGTTTTGCTGTACTTCCGTCCTGTTTTACCTCCTCCCGTTACGTTTTACGGTACCTCCGTGTCCTTTTATTTTCGTTCATTCCCTTTTGCCCTCCCTCCGTTCCTCTGTACCCTCCCTCCGTTCCGTTTTACCTGTCCTCCTTCCGTTCCGCTCATTTCCGTTTTTTTTTGTTTCCCCCCCAGGTCCGTTTCCCTTTTTCCCCGTCTGTTCACAACCGTGTTGTGTTTTCTATTCGTTCCGTTTTTTTTTCCGGCTCCGTGCTATTGTTTTTCGGTTTTTTGTCATCCCCCCCGTTCCGTTTGTTTTTCTTTTGTATTTTCTTTTTAGTCTCCCCGTTCTGTTTTATCATCCTGATTCTTCCTGCCGTTCCGTCGTACCACCCTTCTCTTTCGATGTTTTGTTTTCGTTTCGTTTTGTGCTCTCATTGTTTTGTTATCTGTGCATTTCGTTCCGTTTTGCCCTCTTTCGGTTCACCTCTGTTCCGTGCTTCCCTCCCTCCGTTCCGTTTTACCCTCCCTCGTCTTCTTCGTCTTCGTGGGTATCGCCTTTGTCGTCGTCCTCGTCCTCCTCGTCCTCTACGTGCCTTCTCCTCCTCGGTTTCGCGAGGAGGAGGAGCAGGAGCAGGATGAGGACCGAGGAGAAGGATCCAGAAGGAAAATCTCAGAATCCCAGAAGTGAAATCCCAGAATTCCCGAGGGCCTGGTTCTTGCAGGAGGAGCGCTTGGGGGATAAAACAAAATCTGAACTCTGGAGTCCTGGGTTTTCGTTTCTTGGATTCCGGGTCTACCGCCAGCCTCCCCTCCCAGGCGTTGGCGTGCCCCTGAGTGCGTTTCCGTTTTCCCCCTCGGTCTCCTGTTTCACATCTTTCTCCTCCCTATCCTCCTCTCTCCGCCTCGCTGCGTCATTTTCCATCATCGCTCCTCCTCGGCTCTCCTTCACGCCTTCCTCTCTCCGCCTCCCTCATGCGCTTCTGTCTCCCCCTTCCTTCATTCTCATCTCTCCTTCACTCCTTCCTCCCTCCACCGCCCTCACCCAGCATCTTGCCCCATTGAGTAATAGGAGGCCCAGCTAACAAAGAAAATGATGTAATTCCCGCAAGTCGACCCCCCCCTACGGTTCTCTCCTGTCCCAGGCTTTAGCGTGCCCCCGAGTGCGTTTCCCTGCTCCCCATCCCTCGTTGTCCGGTCTCCCTGATCTTTCTGCTCTTGGTTCTCCTCCGTCTCCCGTTCCACATCCTTCTCCTCCCTCTCCTCCTCCGAGGTCAACCCTCACAAGGGAGCCGGGGGGGGGGGGGTGGATCGCTGGATCGCCGGATCGTATCCGAATCGCCAGATCGCCCGCGGGATCTCTGGGTTGCAGGATCGCCGGGTCGCTTGATCGCCGGATCGCTGGACCGCTGTATCGCCGGATGGCCGGATCGCCGGATCGCCGGGCCGCTGGGTCGCCTGTTCGCCAGATCGCCTGATCGCTGGGTCGCTGGATTGCTGGCTCGACAGATTGCCGGGTCGCCAGATCGGTCGCCAGATCGATCGTTGGATCGCCGGATCGCCAGATCGCCGGGTCGCCGGATCGTTGGATTCCGGATCGCCGAGCGCCAGCTCGCCGGATCTCCGTATCGCCGGATCGCCGGATCGCCGGATCGCCGGATCGCTGGATCGCCGGATCGCTGGATCGCTTGATCGCCGGATCGCCGGATCGCCAGATCGCGGGGTCGCCGGATCGCCGGATCGCCGGATCGCCGGATTGCTGAGTCGTTGACGACGACGACGACGTTGACGTCGACGACGACGACGACAACGACGACGACGACGACGACGACGACGACGACGACGACGACGACGACGACGACGACGACGACGACGACGACGACGACGACGACGACGACGACGACGACGACGACGACGACGACGACGACGACGACGACGACGACGACGACGACGACGACGAACGACGACGACGACGACGACGACGACGACGACGACGACGACGACGACGGACGACGACGACGACGACGACGACGACGACGACGACGACGACGACGACGACGACGACGACGACGACGACGACGACGACGACGACGACGACGACGACGACGACGACGACGACGACGACGACGACGACGACGACGACGACGACGACG